ACCAGACGACTGAATGTTTAGTCGTCTGGACGACTTACATTTCAGTCGTCTGCTTCGATCTCTAATAAACTTTCTTTTTCTTTCTTCTATGTTTGCTAATGTGTTTTATTTTTACTATCTCAGATGATGCATCAGTTACGTGCAGTGTATGGAGAATGGTTGTTGGAAGATGGTTGTTGGAATTTTGTGGTTGATCGTTGGAAAGGAGCAAGATTGTTTTTATTGAATGAAGATTCAACACATGCTGAACTTGTGGCAATGGCTCAAGAAGATTATAACCTGGACATGAGCACAGTCACTGTTGAGATTAGCTACTCATTTCCAGCTCCAGACCTTCCTCCTATTCATGTTACAAGTGATAGACAAGTTCGAAACTTGCTCGAGATAACCAAAACGCAAGAAGTACGTCTTTGTGTATCAAGCTTTTGCAAGATGAGAACGGTTTCAGAGGAAAGGGATGAAGCTGAGGATGCAGCTGATGTGGGGGATGAATCTGATGTGGGGGATGAAGCTGATGTGGAGGATGAATCTGATGTGGGGGATGAAGCTGATGTGGGGGATGAAGATCAGGAGGGGGATGTAGCTGAGGATTATGATAGGGAGGAGGATGCTGACATCCCTGTTGTCGCTGAAGATTTTTATGATCCTGAGGATTACAGTCAATTTGGAAAGATTAAAGACGAGGATGAGGAAGAAAATGATGAAATTTGTTTTGAAGATTACGGAGAGGCATATGGCTGTGAGGGAAAAGGATCATCTGCAGAAAGAATCTATGTAAACCAGAGTTTTACTAGCAAGGATGCACTGCTTTCAGAGTTGCGGCTGAGCGCGGTGAGGCGCAGGTTCTCCTTCAGAATTTACAAGTCAACAAAAACTCTCTTTATGGCAACATGTCGGGTTAGTGGTTGTCAATGGAAGATCAGAGCAAGTGTGAAACATGGGACTAAGACGTTTTGGGTAACCAAGTATTTGAAAACTCATACATGTTCCACCAGAGACAGAATCGCTGGGCGGAAACACTCTACTCCGAAGTACATTGGTCGACTCTTCATAGATCGTGTTGGAATCATTGATGGGTTGAATCCGCAGCATATCAAAGATGCAATGAAGAACATGTTTGGCATGACACTTGATTACACCACTTCA